TTGGCCAGGATGATCTCGATCTCTTGACCTCGTGATCTGCCTGCCTCGGCCTCCCAAAGTGCTGGGATTATAGGCGTGAGCCACCGCGCCCGGCCAACAATTAACTTTTAATGAAAATAACTGAGGAAGAGCACCAGAGTGCTTTAGAGGAGTAACAGAAACCTGGCGAGCAGAGAAACTCAGGATGGCCGCATGAAGAACTGGGCCTGCACCCCAATCCCCAACCAGGATCAGCTGGGAATGAGGCAAGGAGGTCAGCAAGGGGATCCCAGGAGCCCCACAAGCACCTTGGACACCTACAGCCGTCACCACTGGCGTCCCCTGTCTTCACAGGCACTAAGCCCAGGCAAGGGGGCTGCCTGAGGCCACACAGCTGAGCTCCCTGCAGAGGAGTCCACAGTGAGCCCATTTCCTGTGTCATGTGGCTACCGCACTGCGCCATTGTTGAACTGGAACTACGGCCAGAGCATATCTTGCCCTGGGATTGAGTAGCCACAGTTGCCCTTCATCCCTGAGACTAAGCCACCACTGAACCACCTCAGCCTGGTGGCTTTATACCCCACAACTGAGCCGTGAGCAGCGGTCACGCCCTTGCTCCTGGGGCCAAGCAGAGGTAGAGGTGCTCCACCTAACCTTCCCCCTTCTCCGCTCAGGCCAGAGGTGAAGCCACAATCTGCCTCCCAGGAAAACAGCACCTCGGCTGCTCAGAGCAGAAGTTAGAGAAGCGTGCTGCATTCCAGGAAACGGTGCTGGGGCTACGCAGAATAGTCACATTCCCCAGGCCTAAGCTAAAGCAGTCCACTTCCCCTAGGAGATCACTGCCCTGGCTGAGCTGAGCAGCTGTGAATCCTGGGGATGACCTGATGTAGTAGCTCGCATCCCAGGGAAACAGAGCAGTGGCTGAGCTGAGACACTGCCCTATGGGCCAGCTCCAGCACCTTGCCTCCCTGGAGTCGGATTAGCCTCCTAGAGATGGAGCTGCGGAGATAGCCCTCTCCCTGGAAAGTGGAGTCTCCCTGGGCTGCTCCCTGCCTTCCCCTGCGATGTGCTGTTTCCTGCCACCTCCCTCCCCAACAGGGCGGAAATGACAGCTGTGCTCTGCTATTCTGCCACTGTATCTAGCCTCATGAAGTCTGGGATACTGCCAAGCCCCACCATCTAGGGGCTTAGAGTCGCTACTGCATGGAGCCTCAGCCCCTGAACCCTGAGTAGCGCTGAGCCCCTAAACCCTGAGTTATGCTGAGCCCCTGAACCCTGAGTTATGTTGAGCCCCTGAACCCTGAGTTATGCTGAGCCCCTGAACTCTGAGTTACGCTGAGCCCTACTGGCTCAGGTCCCAGAGTGGCAGCCATACCCTGATCCCCAGGTTTAAACCTGAAGAACACCACATCTTCCCCGGAGTTGGGCCACTGCTCTGCCCTGTCCCACAGGGTAGAATCACAGCTACAACCCAGCCCCCTGGGCATGACCTGCTAGGGAGTGCATCAGAGGTACAGATCCTGGCTCTGTGGGCAATGCACATTCAACCCTGCCACAGAGAGTAAACCTGCACCCAATGACCCAGGCCTTGCCCCAATTTGTACGCCAGGCCCTGAGCCTAGGACCCCAGCTCCACATCTACTCCAAGCACCTGCAAATGAAAGCCAGTGCCACTGCATCTTCTTGTAGGCCATATCAAACTTGACACCAAAAAGTGCCATTTGGCTGCATATCCCCATTGTGGGGAAAATAAGAATAGGAGGATCCCAAAACCCTTTGACATCAAGGACATTAACAACCACTGCCACAAATCTCTACAGCCTGGGCCTCGAGGCACCCACAGTTATTGCTGATGCTCAACACAGCTGAAGAGCTGCACGGAGACCATATCACTGCACCTATCTGGAAACACGGTCGCCACACCATTTCCAACCAGCACACTATGACCCAACTGCAGGTAAAAGTCTATCTCTACGAAAGCCACTCTAGAAACTTTGGAAGAGGCGATTGTTCCACCAGATGTACAGACATCAGTGCAAGGACACAGGAAACATGAAGGAGCAAGAAAATTTGGCACCAAAGGAACATAACTGTCTAGTAACAGACCCTAATGGAAAAGGAAATCAGTGAACTGTCAGAAATAAATTCAAAATAATGATCTTAAGAAAACTAAATAAGGCTGGGTGCAGTGGCTCACAGCTGTACTTTGGGAGGCCAAGGGGGGTGGATCACCTGAGGTCGGCAGTTCAAGACCAGCCTGATCAACATGGTGAAACCCCGTCTCTACTAAATACAAAAAATTATCCAGGCATGGTGGCACGTGCCTGTAATCCCAGTCACTGTGGAGGCTGAGGCAGGAGAATCAAATCATGAGCCAAATAAGCCCCTTTACTGTATAAATTACCCAGCCTCAGGTATTCCTTTAAAGCAATGTAAGAATTCACTAAGACACCCCCAAATTTTCCAGATCGCCCCCTGCCCATCACACCTATCAAATGGTGTCTATTCATTTGATGCCTGGAGGTGTAGCCTCTGTCTCCCATGGCCTGTGGGGAGTGCGGTTCTGGGCAGGGCAGATGCCAGCATCTCAACAGGGCTTGGCCATGGTAGCAAGAGCTCTGAGTCCTCTGGACTCTGACTGTCCCCTAACCCATGTGGATTTCCTACCCAAAGTCCAAACCTGCCTGCCCATTCCCCACATTCCCCCAGACCTCTGCTTCTTTCACAGGCAGCCACCCCACCCCAAGGTGCTCCAGCTGACTCTCCTTCCAGTTGGCTCCTCCAATCCCAGTTCCACTCTCAGTCTCTACCTTTCCTCTTGCCTCGCCAGCATATGGCAATGGAACCCTGGGGCCCTGCTGTCACCCACAATGGGCCACTCTGGGATGTGGACATCGCCTTTTATCTCTGAAGTCATTCCCTCTGGCCAAACTCCATCTCTAGGCCAGGCACAGTGGCTCACGCCTGTAATCCCAGCACTTTGGGAGGCTAAGGTGAGAGGATCACGAGGTCAGCAGTTCCAGACCAGTCTGGCCAACATAGGGAAACCCTGTCTCTACCAAAAAAAAAAAAAAAAAATACAAAAAAATTAGCTGGGTGTGGTGGTGTGCACCTGTAATCCCAGCTACTTGGCTGAGGCAGGAGAATCACGTGAACCGGGAGGTGGAGGTTGCAGTGAGCCAAGATAGCGCCATTGCACTCCAGCCCAGGCAACAGTGCGAGACTCTGTCTCAAAAAAAAAAAGTCCATCTCTACTTCACTTGTTCAACTTTACTGGAATGTCCCCAGACCTATAGGAAAACAGCCTTTTGTATGGCAAGAGTGACACCGTCTTGAAGTGAAAACCCCATGATGACCATGTTTCACTCAGGCATACCAAGTGGTCCCTGTCACACAGAAAACTCCTCAGAAAGATGCCTCTCTCACCACCCCGGTGGTCAAGATTTTGCTAGAATGTCTGAGGCATAACCAATTGCACTTGTTTTACCAAAAAAAAAAAAAAAAAAAATTCTTGTGATATAAAGAATATTTTCTGCAGGGCAGGTATGGAGATCCACCATCTCATGGACAACCAAGACATCACTTCAGTTTGTAATGTCTTATTAAATGTTTGTTTCTTAGACACTGGATTTGTCAGCCTCTTTGTTTGGCCTGTTGGCTCCCTTGGCCTTTGAGAATAGGTTTGCATGGACCTGCTCACTTGCAGAACACCCTCAAACTTAGAAAGGGCGTCGCTGGACTCAATTCCTGTCCCTCAGAACCAGCTATATCCACTCCAGTCCTATATTGGAATCTGCCCACCCTTTTCCAGTCTCGATCTTCTTCTATGTGGACAGGCCAGGTCTCCTCAGCATGAAGAGCCTCACCTGACCCCAACACATGCATGGGATAGGGGGATAGCACGTCCACTGGATCATGACACTCCCTCTACAATTTGGCAGGACTGGCAATTCCACTTGCTAATAGGTCAGCCACCCACTGGTGAGTGATGTGGTCCTGAAGGGTGGGAGGATGTTGTAGGCACGAACCACCTGTGACTGACCACCCTCCATGGTGTGAGGAACCAGGACCCCTCTACAGCCTTCCTCCCGAGGCTAACAGTGAGCAGGGAAAGTTTGCTTCGAGTGGATGCATTTTCAAAGGCACAGAGGCTGTGGGGTGGGGATGAGATCAGGGGCTGTCTAGGCCAGAGCTTCTCGCACCTTCTTGTGCTCACAGCATTTTTGGATCTTGGCAAAATGCAGATCGCTTTCCCATTTCAGGGAGCCTGCAGCATCTACCTTGTTGGACTGGTTCCTTGGCCAAGCTGATGCTGGGGTCAGGAACCTCAAGGCAGGGGGAAGACATACCCCCCTCCCCCATGTCAGCCACCATAAGGTGGCTTATGGTGCTGCTACAGCAGCTGCCTGGGTGCCCACAGCCTCACCTAGGGGCTGCTACAGCTCTGGGGCATCATACTATGCCCCCAGGACCTCCCTCAACATGTGGGGTCAGGGGGCAAGAGAGAAACACACACCCCTGGTGTCCTTGTCCTCAGTGGGCCAATGCTGAAGCCCCCACAGGATTGTGGCTCAATTTCTCCCAGTTTGAGAAAATTCATTGGCATTTGTGCCTTTCCTACCTTGGTTTCTCCACTTTCTCGTCTTTGCTTCCTGGGATCACCTTCCAGATAAACTATCTGCACCCATGTCCTAGTTTTAGGTCAACTATTGGAGTGACCAAAATAAGATCAGGAACATCTGACATTTGCGTGATTGGGAACCCTGGGATGGGAGCACTGGGAGCATTTTCTCCATGGTACCCCAATCCATGTCTTCCCACCCCTCTGACACACTGAAGTACTACTGTTCTTCCATCAATTATCTTCCCGATTGAAATAACCAGAGGGTCCTGCTGTTTGCAACAAAAACCTGGATAACAATTTAGGAGTTCAGGTGGGGTCTTGGCCTGGACTGGACATGAATGAAGAGGAGGGAGTTGTCCATGAAGCCCCTTAGGTCCACAGAAAGCTCTGCAAGGCATCAGCTTGAACATGCATACATATTTATTAGCAAATGGGACAAAAGCGGCTGGAATCTGATCCAGCAGGCAGTCCCAACCCCGTCCCTGAAGTGCCCACTGCCCAGGGGAGGTGAGCCAATCCTATGGTCCCCACTGCAGCCTCACAGTTTCTGGTGCACTCAGAATGGCTGCAGGAGTGAGGGAGCCCATAGCAGAGCAAGGAGCAGCAACAGCTGGGAGGGGTTTGGCCTGGGTGTACTGTGGGACATCACCCTCCGGATCCAGTGGAAGTACACACTGATGTTCGTGTAGACACCAGGCCGATTGGGTTGACCGCAGTCTATTCCCCAGCTCACGATTCCAACCTGATACCACAGTCCATCCTTGTCACAGACCAAGGGTCCACCTGAGTCACCCTGGGGAGCAGCAGCATGGGTGAGCCCAGCCTGGGGCAGAGTGGGTGGGGTAGCAGACAGGCCATGAGAGCAGGAGGGGCTGTGGGGCTAGGCAGACTGAATGCAAACCTTACTCCTTCCCATAGAATCAATCAAGTCACAGTTTCTACACTTTCAAAGCGGGGCAACAGCCTCCAGGGGTTGATGGGTTAGTCAATGCAGGCAGAATTTATGAAAAATGAGAAGCACATTTTGTAGGCTCAATAACTAAGACTGCACTGGTTTTCTCATAAGAAATCCAAGCAATGGGTTGGGAGTGGTTGGGGAGGAAATGGTAGTTGCTCTCAGGTTTGGAGCTGGAGAGGGTGGGATTCTCTGGTGGGGTAGAGGCACTCACTTTGCAGGTGTCTACACTGCCATCCTCAGCACCAGCACAAAACATGGAATCCTGGATCATCCTATGGCTAGAGGGTTGTTCAAACAGGTAATTACACCTGGTGTTGTTTAAGATGGTGACCTGCACTTCCCGGAGGTTGTAAGGAGGTGGTAGAGGTGCTGGAGATAGGACAGAGAAAGGCAGCACCCTTCACCTCTCCTCTGCCATCTGGAGCAGGGAGAGGAGAAAGGGCATGTATTATAGTGGTGGTGGGAGATCTCTGACACACCCACAGTACCCAGCATTGCTCTTGACTCCCCAGCACCCAGTGCATCAACAGCAATCAACAATATCACAGAATAACCCAGTGGGTGGGCCAGGCTGTTGCAGGGCTCCTGAAACTTGGTTTCTCTATCTGTAGAATGGAGATGATAGCCCCTGCCTGAGTCAGCAGGAGAGATTTCTCAGTAAAGCATAGCAGGAAGAAGGGCTACAGTAGATGAGAATGTTTATGATTAACACACTACAGCTGTGGGATCCAGGTCAAAACTTGCCATATTTCATGAAAGACGTGAACCCACAGATTCAAGAAGCTGAGCAAATTCCACATAGGTTAAACTCAAAGACATTTACACTGAGACACGTTGTAATAAAACAAAAAAGATAAAGGGAGAATCTTATGAACAGGAAGAGAGAAGTGATTCATCAAGGACAAGGGATCCTCAGCAAGATGAACAGAAATAGTCACCAAGAATTTTATATCAGGAAAAAAATGAAGAAGAAATTAAGACATTCTCAGATAACCAAAAGCTGAGAAGATTTGTCATTAGTCGACCTATCCTACAAGAAGTGGATAAAGGAATCCTTCCAGGTAAAATGAAAGAACACTAGAAAGTAACTCAAAGTCGGACAAACAAATAAAGAGCCCTGGTTAAGATAACTACACAGGCAAATACAAAAGTTAGTATTATTGTAGTTTTGCTGTGTAACTCCTCTTTTTCTTACATAATTTAAAAGACAAATACATAAAACAATAATTTTTTTTTATTTTTTATTTTTTTGAGACGGAGTCTCGCTCTGTCGCCCAGGCTGGAGTGCAGTGGCGCAATCTCGGCTCACTGCAAGCTCCGCCTCCCGGGTTCACGCCATTCTCCTACCTCAGCCTCCCGAGTAGCTGGGACTACAGGCGCCCGCCACTTCGCCCGGCTAATTTTTTTCTATTTTTTAGTAGAGACGGGGTTTCACCATGGTCTCGATCTCCTGACCTTGTGATCCGCCCGCCTCGGCCTCCCAAAGTGCTGGGATTACAGGCGTGAGCCACTGCGCCCGGCCCATAAAACAATAATTATAAATATAGGTTAACGGTTACACAATGAATAAAGATGTAAATTGTGGCAATAACAACACAAAGTGGAAGAATGGAGCCGTACAGGAACGGAGATTTTGTGAATACTATTGAAGCTAAGTTGGTATAAATTCAAAGTAGGTTGTTATAAGGTTTAGATGTTAATTGTAATCCCTAGAGCAACCACTAACAAAGCAAAATAAACACAGAGAAGGAAATGAGAAGGGAATCAATATGGTACTCTAAACAGTCGGTTAAACAAAAACGAGGAGATAAGAAACAAAAGAAACATAAAACATAGGTATAGAAAAAAGATATGATGAGATCTAAAAACCAAATAACAAAATGGCAGAAGTAATTCTTTGCAGATCAGTAACTAATTACTTTTAATGTAAAGGACTTGAATGCTCCAAATAAAAAGCAAAAACTGATATAACGGCTTTTAAAAAAAATCACTGGATCCAGATCGGTGCTCCTTATAAGAGATGCACTTTAGATCCAGTGAAACACACAGGCTGAAAGTGAAAGGTTGGGAAAAAGTTCCATAAAAATAGTAACCAAAAGAGAGCTGAGGTTGCTATACTATGCCAGTTTAATACAAACTTGTTATGAGAGTCCAAGAACAACATTATATATTGATAAAACAATCAAATCATCAAGAAAATACACCAATCATAAGCATCTTCATACCTAACAAATCTCCAAAACATATAAAGCAAAATTGACAGAATTGGCAGGAGAAATACACAGTTCTACAATAATAGTTGGAGATGTTAATAGCTCGCTATTAATAATTAATAAAACAGCCGGGCACAGTGGCTCACACCTGTAATCCCCTCACACTTGCCTTCCCAGGGCGAGGCAGGCAAATCACAAGGACAAGAGTTTGAGACCAGCCTGCCCAAGATGGTGAAACCCTGTCTCTACTAAAAATACAAAAACTTAGCTGGGCATAGTGGCAGGTGCCTGTAATCCCAGCTACTTAGGAGGCTGAGGCAGGAGAATCGCTTGAGCCTGCGAGGCCGAGGTTGCAGTGAGCCGAGATCAAGCCACTGCACTCCAGCCTGGGCAACAGAATCAGACTCCGTCTCAAATAATAATAATAATAATAATAAATACATAGGCCGGGCGCGGTGGCTCAAGCCTGTAATCCCAGCACTTTGGGAGGCCGAGACGGGCGGATCACGAGGTCAGGAGATCGAGACCATCCTGGCTAACACGGTGAAACCCCATCTCTACTAAAACTACAAAAAAACTAGCCGGGCGAGGGGGCGGGCGCCTGTAGTCCCAGCTACTCAGGAGGCTGAGGCAGGAGAATGCTGTAAACCCGGGAGGCGGAGCTTGCAGTGAGCTGAGATCCGGCCACTGCACTCCAGCCCCGGCGACAGAGCGAGACTCTGTCTCAAAAAAAAAAAAAAAAATAAAATAAAATAAAAATAAATAGATAAAACAAGCAGAGAGAAGATCAATAATAATAGAGCTCTAGAACAACTCCATAAATCAATCATTCCTAACAGACAGAATAGGCCACCCAAACAATAGTAGAATATAGTCTTCCAAAGTGTAAGCAGAATATTCTCCAGGATAGACAATATGTCAAGTCACAAAATAAGTTGCAGAGAATTAGACAAGGCTGAAATCATACAAAACATCTTCACTGATCACAAGGGAATGAAACTATAAGTCAATAACAGAATGAACAAGGAAAAATTCACAAATATATAGAAATTAAGCAACATACTTTTGAATGACCAATAGGCCAAATAAGAAATCACAGGGAAACTTAGAAAATACTTTGAGATGAATGCAAATAAAAACACAAAAGATAAAAACTTACGAGTTGCAGCAAAAGCAGTTCTCAGGAGGAAATATGAGCTACAAATACCCACATTAATAAAGAAGGAAAATCTCAAATCAGTAACTTTACATTTTAAGGAACCAGAAAAAGAAGAAACTAAATACAAAGCTAGCAGAAAGAAGGGAATAGTCCGGGTGTGGTGGCTAATGCCTGTAATCCCAGCACTTTAGGAGGCTGAGGCAGGCAGATCACCTGAGGTCAAGAGTTCGAGACCAGCCTGGCCAACATGGCAAAACTCTGTCTCTACTAAAAATATATAAATTAGCTGGGTGTGGTGGCACATGCCTATAATCCCAGGTTCTAAGGAGGCCGAGGCAGGAGAATGGCTTGAACCCAGGAGGTAGAGGCTGCAGTGAGCTGAGATGGCACCATTGCACTCTACCCTGGGCGATAAGAGCAAAACTCCATCTAAAAAAAAAAAAAGGAAGAAAGGAATAAAGAGTAAAATGGAGGAAGACAAACTAGAGGGTAGAAAAACAATAGAGGAATCAATGAAACCAAAAGTTGGTTCTTTGAGAGATCAACAAAATTGACCATGTAAGTGGGGACATTACTACTGACCTTACAGAAATAAAAATGACTATAGGCCAGGCGCGGTGGCTCAAGTCTGTAATCCCAGCACTTTGGGAGGCCGAGACGGGCGGATCACGAGGTCAGGAGATCGAGACCATCCTGGCTAACACGGCGAAACCCCGTCTCTACTAAAAAATACAAAAAACTAGCCGGGCGAGGTGGCGGGCGCCTATAGTCCCAGCTACTCGGGAGGCTGAGGCAGGAGAAAGGCATAAATCCAGGAGGCGGAGCTTGCAGTGAGCTGAGATCTGGCCACTGCACTCCAGCCCGGGCGACAGAGCCAGACTCCGTCTCAAAAAAAAAAAAAAAAAAAAAAAAAAAAAAAAGACTATAAAGGAATACTGTGAGCAATTGTACAACAACAAATCAGGTAACCCAGAGGAAATGAAAAAATTCCTACCTGGAGATACACAAACTACCAAAACCAACTAGAAAAGAAACAGAAAATCTGCACAGACTTATGATAAGTGAAAAGATTGAATCGGAAATTTAAAATCTCCCAGCAAAGAAAATCTTAGTATCAGGTAGCTTCACTGCTGAATTCTACCAACATAGGAAGAAGTAACACCAATCCTTCCTGAGCACGTCCCAAAAATAGAAGGAAACACTTCAGAATTCATTCCATGAGGCCAGCATCATCCTGCACACCAAAGCCAGACAATGATACCACACACACACAATAGGAAAACTAAAAACCAGTATCTCTTATGAATATGCATGTAAAAATCCTCAACAAAATAGGGCAAACCAAATCCAGCAGCATATTAAGGGAACTGTATACCATGACCAAGTAACACTCATCCCACAAGGGCACAGTAGTCCAACATTTTAAAATCAGTTGATAAGGAATACTACATTAATAGAATGAAGGAAAAGCCACACAATCATCTCCATTGACACAGAAAAAGCATGTCACAATACTCAACACGCTTTGATGATGAAAACGTTTGGCAAACTAGGAATAGAAGGAAACTAACTCAATGTAATAAAGACCATATAAAAAAAGCCCACATCGGGCCAGGTGTGGTGGCTCACGCCTGTAATCCCAGCACTTTGGGATGCCAAGGTGAGCGGATAATGAGGTCAGGAGATTGGGACCATCCTGGCTAACACGGTGAAACTGTCTCTACTAAAAATACAAAAAATTAGCCGGGCATGGTGGCGATCGCCTGTAGTCCCAGCTACTCGGGAGGCTGAGGCAGGAGAATGGCATGAACCTGGGAGACAGAGCTTGCAGTGAGCCGAGATCGTGCCACTGCACTCCAGCCTGGGCAACACAGCAAGACTCCTTCTCAAAAGAAAAGAAAAGCCCATGGCAAAAATCATACTCAATGGTGAAAAACTGAAAGCTTTTCCTTCAAGATCAGAAACAAGTCAAGGACACCCACTTTTACCACTGCTATTCAACATAGCACTGGAAGTGTCACCCAGAGCAATTAGGCAAGGTAAAAAATAAAAGTCTTCTGAATTTAAAAAGAAGTAAAATTACCATTGTGCACAGACGACATGATTCTTTTTGTAGAAATCACTAAAGATTCCACAAAATTGTTAGAACCAATAAAGAAACCCAGCAGTTGTGATATGCAAAATTAACATCTAAAAATCAAGACGACCAAAAAAAAAAAAGTAACAAAAAAACTCAGGCTAAGCACAGTGGCTCACGCCTGTAATCCCAGCACTGTGGGAGGCAGAGGCAGGTAGATCACCTGAGGTCAGGTGTTCCAGACCAGCCTGGTCAACATGGTGAAACCCTGTCACTACTAAAAATATAAAAATTAGCCAGACATGGTGGTGCACGCCTGTAGTCCCAGCTACTTGGGAGACTGAGGTAGGTGAATCGTTGAACACAGGAGGCAGAGGCTGCAGTGACCTGAGATCGTGCCATTGCACTCTAGCCTGGGTGACAAGAGTGACACTCTGTTTCAGAAAAAAAAAAAAAATTGACCACTCTGAGCAACAAAGTGAGACCCCCCATCTCTACTCAACCCCCCCCCCCAAAAAAATAAATTAGCTGGAACCTGGGTATGGTGGCTCACATCTGTAATCCCAGCACTTTGGGAGGCCAAGGTGGGTAGATCACCAGAGGTCAGGAGTTCGTGACCAGCCTGGCCAACATAGTGAAACCCTATATTGATACATCCCACAAAATGAATCTTGGAGACACTATGTTATATGAAAGAATCTAGACCCCTAAAAAATCATATGTTGTATGTTCCGTGTGTATGGAACAGAAAAAAAGCTCATGGAAAAAGGATATAAAGAAAGAAAATATTTTCATATAGCTATACAACTTGTTTGTGTCTTGAAATAAGGTAGCTGCTATTACAAAACAGTAAAAAAGTTAAAATAGCAATAATTTTTAAAAAGTTAAAAGTTTACAGTAAGCTAAGTTCCACTTGCTATTAAAGAACAAACAGGTTTTGGGGTAAATTTAGTGTAGCCTTAGTGTACAGTGTTTATAAAGTCTATAGTAGTGTGAAGTCATGTCACATTCACTCACCATTCATCCACTTACCAACAGCCACTTCCAGTCTGGCAAGCTCCACTAATGGTAAGTGCCTAGCACACAGGCATACTGTTTTTTATCTTTTTTTTTTTGAGATGGAGTCTCCCTCTGTCACCCAGGCTGGAATGCAGTGGTGCTATCTTGGCTCACTGAAACCTCTGCCCCTCACGGGTTCAAGCGATTCTCCTGCCTCAGCCTCCCGAGGAACTGAGATTACAGGCACCCGCCACCACACCCGGCTAATTTTTGTATTTTTAGTAGAGACAGGGTTTCACTATGTTGGTCAGGCTGGTCTCGAACTCCTGACCTCAGGTGATTCATCTGCCTCGGCCTCCCAAAGTGCTGGGATTACAGGCTCATCTGCCCAGCCTGGTTTTTATCTTTTATGCCATATTTTTACTGTGCCTCTTCTCTGTTTAGATACCCTTAAGTACCTAAGTACTTACCAGTGTGTTATGACTGCTCTGGTATTCAGCGCAGTAACAAGCTGCACAGGTTTGTAGCCCAGGAGCAATGGGCTAGACCATACAGTCTGGGTATGTAGTATTACTGGCTCTGCCATCCGGGTTTGTGTAACTACACTCTATGATGTTGACACAATAGTGAAACTGTCTCATGATACATATCTCAGAACATACCCCGGTCATTAAGTGACACAGGACTGCAGGCTAAAAATCACTGAATTGTGTACTTCAACACTGAACACTTGAGCATTTTATGGTTTGTGAGTTGTCTCAATTTTTAAAAATCGTTGCCTGAGGTTTCTGTCACCAGGTCCTCCCGAACTCCCCCTCACTCCTTCAGACCCGGGGCAAGCTGGCCTCCCTCTCACACTGTCCTGCTGGCCCCCCCAGTCCCTGGAAGCGGGGTGAACTGGGAGTTTGGTCCCTGCCCTGGCAGGTGGCACTGAGAGCAGAAAAGCAGGTGAGGAGAGAATGAGAGCAGGAGGGGAGCAGTTGCACCCCCAGACCAAGGAGGGGCTGCTGTGCTTGTGTAGCGGGAAGAGGGATAGAGGGTAATGTCCACCCCAGATCCCCATCGCCCCACCCGGACTATCCCCAGCCTCACTGCCACTGGGGCTGATTAACCCCCAGCCGGTCACCCAGCAGTCCGGCCGGTGCACGAAGGTGAAGGTGGAGGACTCAACGCAAATAGGCTGGATGTACACATTGTAGGCGACAGAGGAGGCCAGTTTCAGCAGGGCAATGTCATTGTGTAGAACCCCAAGGGTGTCAGGGTTCACAATGATGTCCTGCACTTTGTAACGATTGCTGTAGGCTCGCAGGTTCCAAGGAGTTGGCCTGGAAGTCAGCTCGCCCAACTGGACCGTCCACTCGGAAGGATAGTAGTGCCTGGCAGAAAAGGAGAGGGCAGGGAGCCCTGGAATTGGGCGCTGGCCGCCTGAGCACGCTGGAGGCCCAGTCCCTGAGGCCAAGCTGCGGAGTGGCTACTGTTTGCTCATCCTGGAGGCCATTATCAAGTCTGCGGCCCCGACGGCCCCTAGACTCACTTTCGGAAGCAGTGCGCAGCCGTGAGCACCCAGCGGCGGCTAAGCAGGCTCCCTCCACATCGGTGGCGTCTCCTCAGGCGCAGGCTGGCCTGCCATGGCCAGCGCCCGCGCGCGGACTCCACTCCGCCCGCCACCAGCGAGTGAATTTCCCGGCGGCCACAGGCCTCTGGGATGGACAGACGCACGCGGCTGAGCTGCGAGGGATGGGGGTGGGGCAGGCCCGCCCCGCCAGGCCTTGCCCCAGGGTGCGCGCAGCGAGGGGTTCCCCGGGGAACCGCGCGCCAAGAAGGTGACGCTGGGGACGGTCCCACCCCCAGGGGCCATTAGTTACTTGAGAGCATCACGTTCTTGGGACCCGGAACAGAGAGCAGTAGATGGGCCCCGGTGCACCCGGGCCCAGCCACCCTGGCAGGCATAGCGCGTCCCGGGCGCCCTACCTGACAACAGCTCCGCCTCATCCGACTCTGCAGGAGACAAGAAGTGAGCCCCCCGCAGCCTCCACTTCCCGTCCTCCTCGCTGCCCCCCGTCCCGCCAGCAGCGCCCTGAGCTCACCCGGTTTCCCGAGTCCAGCCCGCGCCAGGAGCAGCGCCAGCAGCAGCGCCCCGTGCGCGCCCATGGCCTCCTCTCCCGCGGCCTGGCGCCCCCTCTGCCTCCTCTCGCTCCGGGCCCGGGCCGCCCCCTGGAGGCAGGGCGGGGTGGGAGCTCCAGCTTCATCCTCCCAAACCGGGCCCAAGGGCTGTTTGGGGACTCTCAGGCCTGGCAGCGCCCTGGTTTTCAGCTCCTACTGGCGGGTCTTCAACCACATTCCTTGATGTGGCCCAGACCTGGTGGACCCCCCAGTTCCTTTCTTGTCTGCAGCCCGGGGTTCCTGGCTGCCCGCTTGGTGCCCCCTGTCCTCCACCCATGACTTCCTCCAGCACCAACGGTCTGGCCCTCAGCCGGGAGTCCCCTTAAAGCAGGCAGGCAAGGCCTTCCTGAGGGCGGGGTGGGGCCTGACAGCGTGGAACCTGCTGCTGGCAGTGCTCCTCCTGTACAGACCCGCAGACTGTGCACCGCCCAGGGGCTCTCAGCCCCACTCCCTGCCCGCTGCCCTGCAGGGCCCACACAGCTACCTGGAGCCCACCGCGGGGGTCTCCCGCCTTGTGGGAGATGTTTCAGGGAACCAAGGTAACCAAGCAGGCCCTACAGTACTAGATGTGAATGGGCCACTGAGTCCAGGTGCATAAGACCTCCTGCAGGGCTCCCGCTACTCAGAAAAACCATCACACTCATGGTTAGGGTTTAGAGTTCACAGAGTGAAAGGACTTACGTTAACATCAGCAAAGTAAAAGACACACAGGGCAGAGTGCAGGAGAGACCAGGAGGAAGGCTGCAGTGAGCACTCCAGGGGAGGCCTATGCATGCCCGTCATTCTCCCAGCATGGAAGTGTGACAACCAGGGACGCTGGCCTGAGCCTTGGCAGCAGGGTTTTACTGGAGGTTGGCGGTGCCTGGAGCAGCTGCATGACTGACGCTAGTTAGTCAGCCTCCAGCCCCTCCAGAGGTCCCCTGATACCACCTGGCTCAAGGCCCTGCCATCAGTCATGTTGTGAGCATCAGCTGTCTGGCGGGGCCCAGGGATCCAGGTATGCAGAGGCATTCTTATCAGGCAAGACATTCAAGATCTTAGAGGTTTGGATGTGAACACCCCAAGTCTATTGAGTTAACCGTCTGCTGTAAGGCTACCCCGTGGCTCTTATGGCAAAAGGATCATATTTTTCTGAGTTTCCATGACTAGAAATGCAAATAATACCATGGCTGGGCTAGGCGCAGTGGCTCACGCCTGTAATCTCAGCACTTTGGGAGGCTGAGGTGGGCGGATCACTGAGCTCAGGAGTTCAAGACCAGCCTGGCCAACATGGTGAAATCCTGTCTCTACTAAAAATACAACAGTTAGCCAGGCGTGGTGGTGGGCGCCTGTAATCCCAGCTACTTGGGAGGCTGAGGAAGGAGAATCGCTTGAACCCGGGAGGCAGAGGTTGCAGTGAGCCAAGATGGTGCTACTGCACTCCAGCCTGGGTGACAGAGCAAAAACTCCATCTCAAAAAAAATAAATAAAGAATAAACTATATAAACTATGTTCTCACTGCAACAAGGTTTTTCTTTTTCTCTGGCAGTTAAGCAAGCGCTGGCCTAGAGATAAGCAATATTAAAACAATTACAACTCATCCATTGACAGACACTAGATAACTGACTTCCCTGTTCCACAAGCCACAACTACAGCTTTGATTGGACAAGAAACTGATTTCAGTCACTTTCTCCTGATAAGAGGCCTCCTATCAAGGGTTGGTTCTGACTGGTTTCCAGAGGCTGTGCGCTTGAGTGCTTTGATGTCCTGAAAACACCTTTTGATATATAGGACTTAATGTAATGCATTTAAATGTTAAGTTGCCACCCCAGTGTGAAAATGGGATTAATGCAACATGCGTGCTTGCTTGTCACAACTGCGTGCAACTCCCTTTCATAAATATAGTTCCTCCTATATCCTGTTGAGTATGTGTATGTGGCAACTGCTTCGGAATAAATTGTCTTATCCCCTCCTCCCTCGAAGTACCTGTTAATAGTCTCTGCCGGATGCTGCACTTATGGCCAGCGGAATAGCCAGCCTGCAGGCTGCAAACATTTGTTTATTTATTTATTTTTATTTTGAGACAAAAGCCTTGCTGTGTCACCCATGCTGGAGTGCAATAGCACCATCTTGGCTCACTGCAACCTCTGTCTCCCGGGTTCAAGCGATTCTCCTGCTTTAGCCTCCCAAGTAGCTGGGATTACAGATGCACACCACCATGCCCAGCTAATTTTTGTGGAGATGGGGTTTCACCATGTTGACCAGGCTGGTATCGAACTCCTGACCTCAAGTGATCTGCCCACCTCGGACTCCCAAAGTGCTGGGATTACAGGCGTGAGCCACCACACCCTGCCTGCAACCCTTTATGAGAAATAGCCTCCTTGGGCTGGGCACGGTGACTCACGCCTATAATCCCAGCACTTTAGGAGGCCAAGGCGGGCAGATAGTGAGGTCAGGAGATCGAGACCATCCTGGCTAACATGGTGAAACCCCGTCTCTACTAAAAATACAAAAAATTAGCCAGCATGGTGGCAAGCGCCTGTAATCCCAGCTACTCAGGAGGCTGAGGCAGGAGACAGAGCGAGACTCCGTCTCAAAAAAAAAAAAAAAAAAGAAATAAACTCCTTTCCAAATTCATAAACCTTATGCTTTTTCACTTGACACTAGGAAGACTGGTTCCCTTCCTCCCCAGTGAGACACACACAGACATGGGAAGCTCTGTGGGTCTCAGCCTCCCTCCCATTGTGGGGGCAGCAGGGTGCCATGGACGCACAGGGGACCTGGGGCACAGGTAAGAGCCAAGATCTGGCTCTGGCCATGGACTGTGGCCACGTCACTTCCATCCATGACTTTGCTCTTCGTGGCTTTCCGAGTCTTAGGTCAAAAGTGGCGTGGAGGCCGGGCGCAGTGGCTCACGCCTGTAATCCCAGCACTTTGAGAGGCTGAGGCGGGCAGATCACGAGGTCAGGAGATCAAGACCATTCTGGCTAACAGAGTGAAACCCCATCTCTACCAAAAACACAAAAAATTAGCCGGGCATTGTGGCAGGCGCCTGCAGTCCCAGCTACTTGGCAGGAGAATGGAGTGAACCTGGGAGGAGGAGGTTGCAGTGAGTTGAGATCACACCACTGCACTCCAGTCTGGGCGACAGATAGAGACTCCGCCTCAAAAAAAAAAAAAAAAGAAAAGAAAAGTGGCGTGGAGTGGTTTGAATACATGTCCCTGAAATTCGTGTCTACCTGGAACATCAGAATTGACCTGATTTTGAAACATAGGCTTTGCAGATGCAATTAGTTACAATGAGGCCACACGGCATCAGGATGGGAGTGTCTCCCAAGAGACAGAAAAGAAGACCTGCATGGGTAGGGCGGGGAGCTGCAGACCCCAGGGCCTGATGGGAGGCTCCTTTGCCAAGCACACCCCACCTGCCCCCTTGCCACTCACCTCTCCACCTGGGGCCCAGCAGGCTGGAGGGGGGCCGAGGGTGCCTGAGTCTTGAGGGGAAAACTTTTTATTCAAAGACGTAAAGCAGCTAGGGGAGACCCCAGATTCTCAGCAGGAAGAACTGATGCCTCTGCTGTCTTTCTCTGACCACACAGACGGTCAGATGCCCCTTGCTAAGGGGCAGCCGTGGCCCTTGCTGTCTGGATCCGGGCCTTACAGAGGCTGTGCAGGCAAAAAAGAAGAGCTGTCAGCCTGGGGCGTCAGGGAGACGGGATGCAGTGACCCTTCCTGACTCCTCAGATTTTTCCGCTTCTCACAAACTCCCCAACCTTTCAGATGCCCCCAAAACCTAGGGACAACCCCTTCCGATGGGCTCATGACCCCTGGGGACAGGTCTCGCAGGACACTCTGGCTTTCTTAGCAGCCCTAGATGTTTGACTTAAGTTGAGGTCATAATTGGAGAATATTCTGGTGCTACTTCCATTTTTCTTACCTATTCTTGTGCTCAAACTAATCTCTTGATTTCATTAAGAGAAATGTGAATTATTAATTTGAGTATTTAGAATATTTTTTGTTTATGGATATCTAAGAACTCTAATGGGGATACAACAGCTTCTGCCTCTGCCTCTCACATCTTCTCGTGGAATTTTATCAGTGTAAAATACACCTATATTTCATACTTAAGACTGCTAGCTTGGGTCTTGTTTTATCCGATGTTAATATTTCCACATCTGCTTTCATTCTGCTTGCAAATTGCTTCACCAATATATTTTTGACTCAATATAAAAATAATAGAAAGACATTTCTAAAAAAGTATTAACTACCTCATTAAGCTTCTACTTATTGGAATACATACATTGGAACACACTCTCTGGAATACTTGTAAGATCGTAAAGCATTCCCATTAACAGCACCATCAATGTTTGTGACTTCAGAAGAAACCAAAGTTTCATGTGACTCACAGATGCCTTTCAGGGATCATGGCACATAACAGTGGCTTGAGATTTATTTTGAGTTTGGTCTCAGAAATGGTGTTTGAGAATTCCTAGAATTCCTAGATCAGAGCAGTGAGTTTCACAATAACATCATCTGAAGACGTCACAGCAGTTGTCATTAGCATAATCACCATTATCCATGAGCTGTTCTTTAAAACTCACACCCAGGCTGGGCAAGGTGGCTCATGCCTATAATCCCAGCACTTTGGGAGTCCAAGTTGGGCAGATCACTTGAGGTCACGAGTTCGAGACCAGCCTGGCCAACATGGTGAAACCCCATTTCTACTAAAAATGCAAAAATTAGCCAGGCGTGGTGGCACGTACCTGTAATCTCAGCTACCTGGGAGGCTGAGGCAGAAGAATCAATTGAACCCGGGAGGCAGAGGTTGCAATGAGCCGAGATCACGCCACTGCACTCCAGCCTGGGCAGCAGAATGAGACTCCATCTCCAAAAATAAAAATAACAAAATGTTTTAAAAAACAAATGTTACTTTCTAAGAAACTGGATATGTTAGCCTCTTTCTTCAGCTTCTCAACTACCTTGAACTTTGGGGTAACTTTGCATAAACCTGCTCACCACAAAACACCTACCAGGACTGAATCATGAAGAAATAGAAAATCTGTAACTCAGCCAGGCACGGTGGCTCACACTTGTAATCCCAGCATTTTGGGAGGCCAAGGCAGGTGGATCACCTGAGGTTAGGAGTTCAAGACCAGCCTGGCCAACGTGGTGAAACCCCGTCTCTACTAAAAATACAAAAATTAGCCAGGCGTGGTGGCGCACACCTATAGTCTCAGCTACTTGAGAGGCAGAGGCAGGAGAATCGCTTGAACCCGGGGGTTTCGGTGAGCTGAGATCTTGCCACTGCTCTCCAGCCTGGGTGACAGAGCGAGACTCCGTCTCAAAAATAGAAAAAAGAAAATCTGTAACTAGTAAGGATACTGAATCAGTAATTTTTTTAAAGTCCCAATAACAACAAAAATACCAGGACCAGATGACTTCACTGGTAAATTCTACCAAACATTTAAAGAAACCTTGGCCAGGCGTGGTGACTCACACCTATAATCCCAGCACTTTGGGAGACCGAGGTGGGTGGATCATGAGGTCAGGAGATTGAGACTGTCCTGGCTAACATGGTGAAACCCTGTCTCTAACTAAAAAACTACAAAACCAAAATTAACTGGCCATGGTGGCAGGCGCCTGTAGTCCCAGCTACTCAGGAGGCTGAGGCAGGAGAATGGCGTGAACCCAGGAGGCGGAGCTTGCAGTGAGCCAAGATCGCACCACTGTGCTCCAGCCTGGGTGACAGAGCGAGACTCCATCTCAAAGAAAAAAAAAAAAAGCCACAGGCTACAGATCAATACGTCCCTGATGAATATTGATGTAAGCTGGGCGAAGTGACTCATGCCTGTAATTCTACCTGTTTGGGAGGCTGAGGTGGGAAGATGAGTTGAGCCCTTGAGGAGTTTGAAATGAGCCAGGGCAATACAGTAAGACTCCTTCTCTACAAAAAATTTTAAAAATAGCCAGATACAGTGGCATGTGCCTGTGATCCCAACTGCTCAGGAGGGTAAGGAAGAAGGATTGCTTGAGCCCAGTAGTTCCAGGCTACAGAGATCACGCCACTGCATTCCTGCCTGGGTGACAGAGAGAGACCCTGTCTCTTAAAAAAAAAAAAAGTTAAAATATTGATGCAAAAATCCTCAACAAAATACTAGCAAACCAAATTCAATGGCACATTAAAAATATTTTATACCATATCCAAGTGGGATTTATCCTTAGGATACAAGAATGAGTGAACATATGAAAATCAAGAAATGTTAATGAAATATTCCATTATTAACAGAACAAAGGACATAAATCACATGATCATCTCAACTGATGCAGAAAAAACATCTGACAAGATTCAACACCCTAGGAAACTAAGCCAGGCATGGTGGTTCACACCTATAATCCCAGCACTTTGAGAGGTGCAGGCAGGCCAATCACTTGAGCCCAATAGTTCCAAACCAGCCTGGGGAACATGGCAAAACCCTGTCTCTACAAAAAATACAAAAATTAGCTGGCCATGGTGGCACATGCCTGTAGTCCTAGCTACTTGAGAGGCTGAGGCAGGAGACTCACTGGAGCCTGGGAGATAGAGGCTGCAGTGAGCTGTGATAATGCCATTGCACTCTAGTCTGGGCAACAAATCAAGACCTTGTCAAAAAAAGAAAGGAAGGAAGGAAGGAAGGACCTTAACAGTAAAGCCCACAGCTAAAATCATACTCAATGATGAAAAGCTGAAAGCTTTTCCTCTAAGATCAGGAACAACGCAAGGATGTGCAGTTTTACCTCTGCCATGCAACACTGTACTGAAACTTCTAGCCAGAATCATTCGATTTACAAAAAAAAAAAAGACGTGCAAATCAGAAAGGAAGAAGTAAAATATTTCCATTTGCAGATGACATCTTGTTTGTAGCAGTCTCTAAAGATTTCACACAAAAAAACTATTAGAACTAATAAATTCAGCAGTTGCAGGATACAAAATTAACACTCAGAAATCAGCTGTGTTTCTATATGCCAACAATGAACAATCCAAAAATGAAATTAAGAAAATAGTCCTAGCCGGGCACAGTGGCTTATGACTGTAATCCCAGCACTTTGGGAGGTCGAGGCAGGTGGATCACGAAGTCAGGAGTCCGAGACCAGCCTGGCCAAGATGGTGAAACCCCGTCTCTACTGAAAATACAAAAATTAGCCGGGCGTGGTTGCGTGTGCCTGTAATCCCAGCTACTCAGGAGGCTGAGGCAGAGAACTGCTTGAACCCAGGAGGCGGAGGTTGCAGTGAGTTGAGATCGTACCACTGCACTCCAGCCTGGGTGACACAGCAAAAGCGTGTCTCTTTTTTTTTGAGACAGAGTCTCACTATGTCGCCTGGAGTGCAGTGGCATGATCTCGGCTCACTGCAACTTCCACCTTCTGGGTTCAAGCAATTCTTGTGCCTCAGCCTTCCGAGTAGCTGAGATTACAGGCACTGCCATCACGCCCAGCTAATTTTTGTATTTTTAGTAGAGACGGGGTTTCACCATGTTGCCAGGCTGGTCTCAAACTCCTGACCTCGAATGATTCACCCATCTCAGCCTCCCAAAATGAGGGGATTACAGGCGTGAGCCACCATGCTTGGCCAAGACCCTGTCTCTTTAAAAAAAAAAGAAAGAAAAATAAAAAAGTACAACTATGGCAGGGCTGCAAAGGAGGCAGGAGGAGGTGGCAGAGCAGAAGGCTGAGGGACAAGAGGAGTTGACTATGCAGAGAGGGATCTGAGAGACTTCTGGGCAGCGAGCACTGTGTGTAAGCCCAAGAGAGAACTACAGGGCCCTGGACCATCCATGCCCTGGTCCTCCACGGGCCTTGAGAGAAGGCCAGTCCCTGTCTCCTGACCCCCGCATCTTACTCTGTCCTGTAAGGGACGGGGTTTCACCATGTTGACGAGTCTCAAACCCCTGAGCTTGTGATCCTCCTGCCTCAGCCTCCCAAAATGCTGGGATTACAGGCGTGAGCCACCATGCCCAGCGTCCGTCTGCCTTCTGTCTCCTTCACTCCCCACCCCAGACAGGGTGTTGTGTTATGATGGGGAAGACCCTTGTGTCTTTCAGGTGTGTTAGACCAGGGAAACAATCTGTCTTCTTTCACGTGCCCCAAAGCAGGACTCGAATTTTCCCTGGGTCTTTCTGATTGGGAGTCTTAAGACTCTCCCCAGAGAGGGCCCCGCCCTATTCCCTGGGAAAGGAATGATGACAAAACCCTACAGGACAGAGTTTGGAGCGTTTCTCCATAGCTCAACTCGTGGAGTAGGGATCCAGGCATCTCTCCGTGGAGATGGCCCCTCCTGTACCTACACCCTTTGACTTCCGGGTGGGCTGCTGCGCTGAGAACTTCCTGGCCCCCACTGTCCACACTCTTCCTTCACTCTCCCTCCACAGAGGTACAGGATTTAAAGTTGCCAGTTCTATCTACATAAAGACACTGGGATTAATTGGAGACAGCATCTCACTCTGTGGCCAGGCTGGTGTGCAGTGGCGCGATCTCAGCTCACTGCAACCTGCGCCTCCGGGTTCAAGCAACCCTCCTGCCTCAGCCTCCCGAGTAGCTGGGACCACAGGCGTGCGCCACCATATCCACCTAATTTTGTTTGTATTTTTAGTGCAGACGGGGTTTCACCTTGTTGGCCAAGCTGGTCTTGAACTTCCGGGCTCAAGTGATCCACCTCCTTCAGCTTCCCAAAGTGTTGGGATTACAGGCGTGAGCCACCACGCCCAGCCAGACACTGGGACTAAGAAATATATCTTTTTTTTTTTTTTTTTTGAGACGGAGTCTCGCTCCATCGCCTAGGCTGGAGCGCAGTGGCGCAATCTCAGCTCACTGCAAGCTCCGCCTCCCGAGTTCACGCCATTCTCCTGCCTCAGCCTCCCGAGTAGCTGGGACTACAGGCGCCCGCCACCACGCCCGGCTAATTTTTTGTATTTTTAGTAGAGACGGGGTTTCACCGTGTTAGCCAGGACGGTCTCGATCTCCTGACCTCGTGATCCACCCACCTCGGCCTCCCAAAGAGCTGGATTACAGGCATGAGCCACTGCGCCCGACCAAAATAAATCTTTTTAGCCTGACCAAGAGCTCTTCCCAACAATTACCTGTCCAATGCCTCACGACACAAGTCATGGAGCAAGACAGGTTCTGCAGGGACTGGGATGCTGAGGACCCTGGGAGCAGGGGTAGGGGCTGCAGTGAAGTAAGTCACAGGAGGGAAGGGACACAAGTCAAAAGTAACAATAACTAGAATTACAGCTTAGAAAACATAAATGCAGCTCTAAGACTTGCCGAGATTCTACGCAGTTCATAAACTGTTCCTCTCCCATCCGGAAGACGAGGAAACTGGGCTTTGATGAGTTTAACGGCCTATGGCCGCAGTCAGCAGCGGAGCCCAGGGATGCTCCTTAGCCACTCTAGATGCCGACGCAGCAGCGGCAACCCCCCACGTTCCGCCCACTCTCAACAGCCATCAAAGCGCAGCTCGGACTGCAGGGCGGTTTGGCGTCCAGGGTCACTCTCTGGCTCATCTCTCGAACGCCGCCTCCGACACCCGCCCAGCACGACCCAGCCTGGGGTGTCTCTCTGCAAGGGAGAGGTCAAGTGGGGGACCCTCGCTCTCATGTAAATGCAACTTGGGGCGATGCAGGATAGTGTCCAGCATTCAGGAAAGGGGGCCTTGGTGAAAAGCGCGGCCAGCCAGGAAAATCAAGTCTCTAGGCCTTTTCAGAGCCAAAATACAGCCAAGCGGGAAGGCGGACAGGCGCCCAGGACCCCTGGGGCAAGGAGCTGCCCCTGCCCTCCTCCTGGGGAAAGCAGTAGCCAACCGCTCCCGTGCCTCCTAGCCCAAGGAGTTCGCCCGGGCCACCCCTAAGCCCAACAGCAGCCCCCAGGGCTCCTCACAGGTCATAAGCCCCTCTGAGCCGCGACAGTCCTCGCATCCAGGTCGGGGCAGGGAGCGGGGGCGACTGTCCCCAACACGGCGGCCAGAAAGCCCAAAATGCGGAGCCTGCCCAAGATGGCGGCCACGACTATCCCGCGACAAGGCGGCCCCGGGCTCGCACCAACACGGAGACCTCGCCTCTGCCACTCCCGAGAGGGCGCCACCGCTTCCGACGACCATCCCCGGGGTGGAGATGGCGGCCGCACACCCGTCGACACCGCCCGCTTCCAGATCACTTAAAATGGCGGCGGCTGCGGGATGGCACGGGGCGGGGCAGCGCCGGGGAAGGCGGGGCGGCGCGGGGCATGCCGGGCCACGCGCGGGCTGCCGGGAACGGGGCGGAGCGCGGCCGCGCCGGCGCGTCGAGGGGAGAGGCAGCCGCCGCGATGGTGAGCGGGCGTGGGGGAGGGGCGGCCGGGCCGGGCCGGGGGCGGCGGGGGGCGGCTGGGCCGCGCGGGGGGCCCGGGCCTCTTGCTCACGCCGGCCCGCCGCCCCCAGGACGTGTTCCTCATGATCCGGCGCCACAAGACCACCATCTTCACGGACGCCAAGGAGTCCAGCACGGTGTTCGAGCTGAAGCGCATCGTCGAGGGCATCCTCAAGCGGCCTCCTGACGAGCAGCGGCTGTACAAGGTGGGTCCCGCGGGCGGGCCGAGGGGAGCGGGTACCCGGCGACGGGCACGGGGCTGACGCCGACGCTGTCTGCGATGTAAACAGTGGCGGCCGGCGACGCCTGCGGGCGCCCGAGCTGCGGGCTGGGACATCCGTTGTGCGGGTGAAGCGCGAGCTGCGCTCGCCGCGGGGATCTCCGGTCCAGGGGCGATGTTTAGACCTCGTGCTGGGCCCCGGGCGCCGAGGGCACCGTGGCATCCAACCCCTGCAACGGTATCGCCCGCGCCGTGCAGTTGACGAAATTGAGGTTCGGCTTGGTCTCTTAACCAGCCGAAGGTCATTGGCAGCGCCAGGGTTCGAACCACGACTCCTTAATTCCCAGCTTTCTTCGCAGGCCCATCGGAATCCCGCTGTCCCCCGGGACACTCCTTGGGGTGGAGGGTGGCGAACTCAGTTAATGTAAAGAAAGTCTGGTCCCACTCGTTCTTCACCAAGCAACCGTTATTACCTCCCTACCTCCTGCTGATGTTCTAGAAGATGCCCTTTCCCCTTGCAAACGAACTGAGATTATTCAGTTAGAATGGCTTGGGGTTTGGGGTCTGCATTGGGGAATCAGATGCATCAGCCTGCGATTTACGTGTCCCAACATTGTGAAGTTGTCGCCTAAGTGCATTGATCAGATTCTAGAGCTGGAAACTGGGAAACTGACTTTTAGCTCCAGGCTCAAAGCCTCAGCTCTCATGCTCTCTAAAGGGCTTTCCTCACTGATAACTGCTGGCACTTAGCGAATATTAAATGGCCGTGCCTGTGCATGTCCCATGTGCCACATATCTACTTAGTGCTTTATGTTCCTTTCTAGCTCATTGAAACCCTCTGGTGGCCCTATGAATTGATATTCTGATAATTCCTAGTTTACAGATGAGGAAACTTTGCATCAAAAGGCTCAACTACTAGCCAGCAGCGGTGGCATGGTCCTGTAGTCCCAGCTACTCTGAAGGCTGAGGCAGAATTGCTTGAGCCCAGGAGTTCCAAGCTGGAGGGTGCTATGATAGCGCTTATGTAGGGTCTGTGCCACTACACACCTGGGCAACATAGCGAGACCCTGTCTCTAAAATAAAAAAATGTTCGAATGACTTGTCCAAGGTGGCAGAGCTGGGATTGAAACCCAGGTCTGCCTATCTCCAGATTAGCTTGGCTCCTCAAATTAGATTTGCCTGGAGAATTTGGATAAAACCAGATTCTAAACCCTACCCTGGGAGGTTCTGACTTAGAAGTTCTTGGATATAACCCTGGAATCTGTGTATTTGACAAGCAGAGCGGTAGTCCTGGGCCACACTGAGGGAACTCTCTTCCTCCTCTGACTTCCTGTGTAGTTGCTGGTCAGAGGTCTTTGGGACTTGCCCCACATGGGGCCTCTCCCAAGATCCTGCTTCTCTCCTCAGGATGACCAACTCTTGGATGATGGCAAGACCCTGGGCGAGTGTGGTTTCACCAGTCAAACAGCACGGCCACAGGCCCCAGCCACAGTGGGGCTGGCCTTCCGGGCAGGTGAGAGGGGGACTGGGCTGGGTGGCAGCCAAGCAGGTTGGGGACACCGTTTCAAAGAGGGTCATCAGGGAACCTGGAGTTGAAACCTTTAGGGCAGTGTCTTCCTCGTGCCTAAAGAGCTGGCAATATCCTTTCACAATGTGTTTGTTTCCTCACTTTTTTTTTTTTTTTTTTTTTTTAAAGAAACAACCAAATGAGATGCTTACAGAAACTGAAGCTTATTTCCCGAAGCTAGCTCACATTTACAGGCGCTGAGTGCCTGGCTCTGTGCTCTGTGTGTTACTCTGTGTGTGGCTTCCACTGCCCTGTCTCATCCTCTCAGTAGCCCCGGGAGGTCCACATACCATCATCCCTGTTCTGCAGATGAGGACACAGGCTTACCAGCAGTCACACAGGGAGCCATGGTTAGGATGCTGGCTGCCGGGCCCTTGCTGGAGTCAAACATCATGCCAAGCTCTATGCTGTGTATCACTGAATCCCTCTGCATCTCTGTGTGGTTGAGATTTGGATTTTGCCTGTTTTCAGATTCAGTGAAGTGAGCCCTGGGAGGTTAGGTCACCTGCTGGGACTGCCACATCTAGGATTGAGATCCAGAGCCTGTGCTTCCATCAGCCATACCCCACCCCTGCCCAAGCTTTAGAAACCTGGGGATTAGGGAGTGGTTTACTACTCGCCAGGGTATCTTCTTCCATCCAAGAGAAAGGGAGGGGAGATTTTAAATGTTTTGTCTCTGGGAACTTGAACAGAGGTTATAGAGCTGTGTTTTCACAGCCGTGGACCCAGCAGCTGTGTGGATGGCTGAGAAAACTTTATTCAAGTTATAAAGAATTATTAATATTTTTCTGCCTGTAAGGAAACATAGCAGAGGCTGAAGAGGAAGAGTACAGTCCTAGCGCCATCTTTCCGTTCCGTAAGTTCAGGCTAGGCCTCAGTCTCAGCATCTATATCCTCTAGCCAGCTACCTTGCCCTCCTGGCCCCGGTTTTCCCTTCTCCTTAAAAGGGTGTGATGAGACTGGCTTCACAGCAAGGTGGTGTGAGTCCTCATGCACCCCAGGTCTGGCCTGCTGCCAGTGCCCAACAGATAGGAAGCTTCAGAGCCTTTCTGTGGGCTCTTTCTGCCCAGATGGTGATGTTAAGAGTTAGATGCAGGGCTGGCACAGACATACAGGTCGTGCCCTGTACATGGGTGCATTTTGTTGTTGTTGTTTCTGAGACAGAGTCTCACTCTGTTGGCTAGGCCAGAGTGCAGTGGTGCCATCCCAGCCCACTGCAGCCTCCACCTCCCGGGTTCAAGAGATTCTCCTGCCTCAGTGGCCTGAGTAGCTGGAATTACAGGCATGCACCACCACGCCCAGCTAATCTTTGTATTTTTAGTAGAAATGGGGTTTCACCTTGTTAAGTCAGCCTGGTCTCAAACTCCTGGGATTACAGGCTTGAGCCTTGGCTCGTGGCCCAGGGGTGCCTTTCTGAAGAGAGCAAGTGAGTGCCAAGAGCATATCTGGTCTGCTTCCCCCAGAAGTGTCACTTTCTCTAATTTGAACAGTGGTACGCTAGAGGTTTGCTGTGACTTGGAAGATACTGATAGATCCATTTTGCAGGTGAGAAAATCAAGGCTAAGGAAGGTGACTTGTTTTTCTCCCACATACTCCCTAGTATGGCATGGAATGTGGTGGTGACTCTGGAGCCCAGGTCACATCAGCCCTCTTGCAGGTGATGGCTATCTTGATAGGGGCACAGCATGGGCTGTGAGCTCTTTGCTTCCCCATGGACTGCTTGCAGAAACACACTTCCTGGGTGCAACTCAACCCATCATCATGTTGTTCTCAAGCCTTGAATGGGTGCCCCACCCTCCGCCTCTCCCCTCCCCCAAGCTTACCACTCAAGAAGGTAAGACAGTGTTTCAAATCAAATGTTAAAGACCATTGTCCAGGCTCATCACGAAAGAATGAGGGAGGTAGTGAAGGCACGAATGGTCACAGGTTTGTGGCTTGGAAGATGCATTAGATTAAGCTGTGTCAGTTTTTGAACCTTGGCACAGTGGGCACATTGGGCTGGATTACTGTGTGGGTTGCCTTGTGCACCATAGCATGTGGAGCCGTATCCCAGGCCTCTACCCACTAGATAGCATTGGAACACCCCACCTCCCCAGTTGTGACAGCCAGAACTGTCATCAGGCGTGCCAGCTTTCCCTGGGATGCCTGATCAGTTGAGAACCCTGAGCCAAGCAGAGATGGGTCTCCTAGCTGGAAGAAAGCCCAGGAGAAAAGCTGTGGGTTTGTTTGCTGTGTGTTGGGGTGACAGTAGGGACAAGACAGGGAAGGCCTTTGCCTTCCTGGAGCCAATCAAAAGGGCAATTTGTCCAGTGGTAAGTGCCCCCACGCCCAGGATGTCAGGATGTCTTGACTTTTGGGGGTGGGTGGATTGGAGGTTCATCTGAGGAGGGGACCTGAGTTGGACCCTGAAAGTCCAGAAGCAACCAGCCATTCCGAGTGCTGGACCAGCAAGTGCGAAGGTCTGAGTTAGGAAACAAGAGAGAGCCAGAACCTGAGAGCATGATGGGAGGCAGAGAGACAGACAGACAGCAAGGACTTGATGGTATTCAGGGAATGATGGGAAGCCACTGGAAGGTTTTAAGCAGGGGAGGAATAGTCTAGTTGATTTTTTTTTTTTTTTGAAACAAGAGTCTTGCTGTGTTGCCCAGGTTGGAATGCAGTGGCCGATCTTGGCTCACTGCGAGCTCCGCTTCCCGGGTTCACATTCTCCTGCCTCAGCCTCCTGAGTAGCTGGGACTGTAGGCACCTGCCACCACACCCGGCTACTTTTTTTGTATTTTTAGTAGAGACGGGGTTTCACCGTGTTAGCCAGGATGGTCTCTATCTTCTGACCTTGTGATCCGCCCGCCTCGGCCTCCCAAAGTGCTGGGATTACAGGTGCCTGCCACCACGCCCGGCTAATTTTTTCGTATTTTTAGTAGAGACGGGGTTTAGTGTTAGCCAGGATGGCCTCAAGCTCCTGACCTTGCAATCTGCCCACCTCAGCCTCCCAAAGTGTGTGAAGGAAACAAGGATATACATTCTGGGTGAAGGGTGACGCTGGCTGCAGGTGGTCAGCCCTCAGACTCACTAGTGCACATGGAAGATGAGGAAAGGGGCCCTAGCATGGTCAGTGGGAAGGGCTGGGGACCTTCAGGTTGGGCCCACAGGGGTAGGAGACATTGCCGTGGGGCCATGGGGCAGCTGGAATAGGGAGGTCAGCTCTGTGGAGACCAGCTGTGTGGACCAGTGTTCGCATGGAGATCCCCAAAGCTGCAGATGATCACCCATGAACACCAAGGACCCAGCTGGGGCAAGAATTGGGATATCCCCTTCCAGCTCTGCTCCTTCCTCCACAGATGACACCTTTGAGGCCCTGTGCATTGAGCCGTTCTCCAGCCCACCTGAGCTGCCCGATGTGATGAAGCCCCAGGACTCGGGAAGCAGTGCCAATGAACAAGCCGTGCAGTGAGGACCCCCAAGAGGCCCATTCCCCCCAATAAAAGAGATTTGGGAGTCTTCCTGGTTGCTGCCTCTTTTTCCCGACCCTCCCTGGGATGGGTCCCACTCCCTGTGGGCTCCTTTTGGGGCTTGTTCTTGGCAGTTCCTGTGCTGTCCTGTCTCCCAGACCCTGGCTGAGAACTTGGCCCAGCCTGCTGCTTAAAGACACCATGGGTACCTGGGTTGCCTTGAGACCCAAGCCATTGTTAGCAGTTAGCCAGCTACACCAACCACTCCAGGGGAAGGGGAGGACTGGGAGGGACACAAAGACCACAGGAAGCCTCAGGGACAACAGATTCTAGTTTTAGGCCTTTTTCCTTCTAAGTGCCCCCCACCTCCACACTCTGCCATGTCCACTCCCAGGGGCCTCTTGTCCTGGGGACAATGGGCAAGAGCAGAAATACAAGCTGGAGCCTGTGTCCTGGTTTGACAGCACATTCAATGAGGGAACCCCAAAGCGGACCCACACAGGTCCACCCACACTGGGGGCTGCAATCAGGGAGGGAGGTGGCTGCCCCCTTACCACACCTTTAATAAACGGTCTACAGACCCAGTTCCTGCATTTCTCATTTTTATTTGACAGAAAAAGTTGCTCTTGCTGTACAGATTTTAAAAAACCAAAATGCCTTTAAGAAACGTGAAAAGTTGGGGGGAGGGGTACACAACCTCATGGGGGGCAGTAGGGACCAACTAATTCCAACTCCTGCCCCTTCCTTCCAAGAACACCTTACATAACCTCCAGTCCCAACCACCATCACAATCACCCCTGGGAACTTTTGGATACAACTGGGGCCATGCCTCCCTGGCCCTGACTCCAGGCTGGGGTGTCCTGAACTGTATCCTCCCCTCCCCCAACTCCCATCTGCATTCCCTCCCACCCCAAACCCCCCAGAACACGTGAACCAGGAAGAACTCACGGAGATTAACATTTCACAGGAACAAAGAAAAAAAAAGGGAGGGAAAGGGAGCCCTTCATCCAAGGGCTGCTAAGGTTCAAAGGAGAGCAGACAAGGACCCTCCCACGGCTCTGCTGGGGAAGAAGGGACACTCCCTGTGGCTCCAGAGCATGGGGTGTGGTGGAATCCCCCAAACACAATTTATGGAGACCTGCAACAGAAGATACAGGTCAACAGGGAGTTCTGACCCTAGTCCTCAAGGCCAGCTTCTGGGCCACTCCCAAAATGGGGCTGCCACCCACCACCACCACAACTGGCTCCCAGAAGGCGGCCTCAGCCTTCCAGGAGGATGCGCACCTGGAGGAGCGGTGTCTCATGGGCCGAGGGCTAGGTGTCTCCCTCCTGCGCTTGTGGCTGGGGGATCGGCTGTCCCCACGCTGGCCTCTCCGGGAACCCCGCTCACTGCTGCTGCTGCAACACAGGACAGACATCAGGCCACAGAGTGGCACCACCTCAGGCACCACAGATCCACAAAGTTTTCTTGGTAGAAAGTAGTGGCAGCCAGACAGGGCTGGGTGCTGACACCTGCAGTTGGCCTTACCTCTGCTGGTCCCGTGGCGAGGGCTGGGGCGAGGGACGGCGACGCTCCACAGGCGAGTAGCTGAGGGACCGAGAGTCCCTAAGGGAATCTATTGGCTTCCGGGGACTGCGGGACCTGGGGAACACAGTAGGATCCAATAGCACCACGCCCTTTCAAGCACAGCGGCCAGCACTCAGGACCACCCACCCAGGTCCTGACCACCAAACCTCACACCACACAGGGCCAGCCTCAGACCCACCTTTGTCCGCTCACTCACCCATCCGCCCGCACACCATCCACCGAGTGCCCAGTGGGCAGGCACAGGGTGCAGCGGGGGATGCAAAGATAAAAGACAGTCCCTGCCCTTGAAGGAGCTCAGTGGTGAAGGAAGGAAGGCACGCACGGCCCCGTGTGTGGGAAGCAGGGCTGGATGTGCGTGGCTCTGGGGACCCAAGGAGGGGGACATGGGGCAGGGCAGGGAAGGGGCAGGGCAGTCTTCTCGAAGGTGCTGTTTGAGCGGAGTCTTGCAGAACGAGGAGTTCACCAGGCGGACAAGGAAATTCCAGGCAGAAGGAACAGCATGTCCAAAGGCATGGGCTCTCCTTAAACTGCAAGGCGCTGGGTGTGGCTGGAGCACAGGGCATGTGTGGGGGCGGGCAGGAGGAGAACACAGGGCGGGCAAGGCCCGTTGGTGAAGAGCCTCACACGCCACTCCCGCAGAGGTGGGGCTTTGTCCTGCAGGCCACAGGGCGTCCCGAAGGATTTGTGGAGTGGAGGGAAGTAGCCAGATGTGCGTTTTAGAAAGGTCCCTCTGGCTACATGTGGAAGAGAATGGCGTGGAGGCGGGGAGACAGGGAGGAGGCTGTGGACAGAGTCGGGAGAAGAAGATGGTGGCCAGACCAGAGCCCTGGCAGTAGCAACAGGGAGACAAAGCTAGAACCCTGGGACCAGGCTATGTGTTGAGGGAGGGAGAGGAAGAAACCAAGGACCCCCCAGTCCTGGCCTGAGCGCCCCTGTGGATGGCGCAGCCCTTCGCCAGAACAAGGTGCAACGAGCGGGGGAGAGAACAAGCGCCTCTTCCCCCACAACCAGATGCCCAAGGTCACGTGAGACACCCAGCCGGGAGCTCACACCCCAGGGCCCTGTCTCTGGATAAGTCACTCCCCCACCCTCCTTCCATCTCAGGCAAGGCAGCACTCACCTCCGCTCGCCAGGGGGTGGCTTCTTGGGGCTTGCAGGTTTGGGCAAGGCCTGAGGGCCAGGCTTAGCAGGGGAAGGCGAGGAAGAGGAGGAGGAGGAGGAAGAGGAGGAGGAAGAGGAAGAAGAGGAAGAGGAAGAAGAAGAGGAGGAGGAGGAGGAGGAGGAGGAAGATGAAGAGGAGGAGCTGGAACTGGAACTGCTAGAGCGCCTCTTCCGTTTGGCTGGGGTTGGCTCCGGAGGACGTCCCTCTCGAACAGCCTCCTTTGGGGCTGGGGTGGGGCTGGGGACCCTGTGGGAGGAGAGGAGTGTCACAAGGAGACAAGCTGCCCCAGCCCCAACCCTACCTTCCTTGGCCTGGAGGAACGGCAGTGGGGGGAGGGGTGCCTGAGAAAGGCGCTGGGAGCTCTCCTAGCCCTGTAAGCCAGCAATTCTCTGGAGAGCAGTGGTGCGAGCTGACCCAACCTCTGCTAACAGAAGCAACAGGCTGGGGCCCGCAGCATAAGGGATCAAGATTAAACCTCAAGAATGTCCCTGATGGAGGAATAAGGCCTCTGGGCTCAGGTGTGGAAGCTGAAGCTGGGTAGTCTCCTTCCTCGGAGAGCCGCAGCTTGGGGAGGCCCCTGTGAGTGCAGGTTGGCTGGGGAAGGGGCCGTCCTGCCTGGAGGCAGGGAGAGGGATGGGATGACCTCTGAAGATCCTTCCAGCCCAGGGAGTTCCTCTTGAGGTCTAACTGCCATCCCTCCTGCTGTAAAATTAAGTCCATTTCCTCTAGTTCTGTCCTCTGTAGAGACGGAAAACTTATCATTATCCTCTAGAGAATGAACCTTCGGAGACTTTTATCTGTCCCACTCCTCCTCCCTCCGCCCCCGCCCCAGCATTCTCTTCTACCCCCAGCCTGAGGGTCAAGGTCCCCATACCTCCTCCAAGAGTCAAGCACCTGTGACACGGTTTCTCCCTCCCCACTCCCAACCCATCCCCAATACCTCCCCACTGAAGGATGCTAAAGTCAAGCTCCCTCACCTCTTTAGTGCCACCTCAGGTTGCACAGGAAGGCTAGAGCCCTCCGAGTCACTAGAACTGGAGCCAGAGGAGGAAGACGACGACGACGACGATGACGAGGAGGAAGAAGAGCTAGAGGACGAGGAGGAGGAGGAGGAACTCCGCCGCTCCTTTGCTGGCTGCAGGGCGGCTAATGCAGAAGGCTGCTGGGCCCCAGTAGAGGCAGGTGGCTCCCCCACATCAGAGTGGGGCACCCCGGGGGCAGGGACAGAGAGCATGCCATTGTGGTCACCAACAGAGGACGTGGTCGTTGCCACTGCCCCAGAGGAAAGGGACTGAGACCCTGCTACGGGGGTGGTCTGGGCAATCAAAGAACGGGACTGGTCTGAAAAAGCAGAAGGCACAGGAGACCTCGGCTGATCCTGTGCTGGAGGGAGAAGAGACTGTGAAGGAGCCTGGCCCATTCTAGAGGAAGGGGAGGGAGCCCGTTCAGAGGTCATTCTAGACTGGCTTGGGGCAGACGGTGGTGTTCTGGACCTGGCTCGGTCAAGGAGCGGTGGTGAGGTTCTGCCACTGACACGCTCGTAGGCAGAGAGGGGCACCCTGGGGCTGGTGAGGTTTGCACCAGACAATGTTGGAGCCATCCTAGCACTGGTGAGGCTCGCGGGGGCCAAGGCTGCAGCGGTTCTGGAGCCAGCAATATTCACAGGAGCTGTGGCATGTGCAGACCGAGGACCCACCAGGTTTGCAGAGGCTGGAGCCTGTGGTGTTCTGGAGCTGGAGGGATAGTTTGCAGCAGTTGGTGGGGTGCCAGAGCCTGTGAGACTCAGAGCTGCCAAGGCAGCTGGGGTTCTGGCCCCTGCTAGGTTCACAGCTGGGGCTGTGGGAGTGCGAGGGTCAGCCAGGTTCACAGCCGAAGGTGCCACCGCTGTTCTGGGGCTGGCCAAGTTCATGGCCGCTGCTGCAGCTGGCGTTCGAGTGTCAGCCAGGTTCACTGCTGTTGGGATGGCAGGTGTCCTGGCGCTGGCTAGGTTCATGGCTGCCGCAGAGGCTGCAGGAATCCTGCTGGCAAGGTTGGCTGCTGGGGCGGTTCTGAGACTCATGAGAGGCACCGGGGCTGGAACCTGGGACATTCTTGCAGCAAGGCCAGCAGCAGACATGGACGGAGGAGGCCGAGCAGTGCCAAGACTGATAGCGGTCAGGGCAAGTGCAATCCTGGACTGAGCATGATTTTCTGGCACAGATGTTCTCTGGTGGTCAGGTATTCGGGGACCTGGACCATCCATCATGGAGCCACCGGCTTGCTGCAGGACAGACATGGGTGTTCTAGAGCTGCCAAGGGGTTC